GGTCCTGATAATACCTTTCCAAAAGATCAGCTATCACCCAACCACCTTTTCCACAACTTTGTAGAAAAGGGCAGATAGGAAACTGGCTGATAATTCTCCAACAGGGAAGAGTCCAGTGATGATCTCTTGAGGAGGAGGCATATACCACCTTTTCCTTCAGGGTTGGTGGGACCACCCCTTCTCTCAAAGAGACTGAAACCATCGCTTGAACCCATCTCCTGATCAGTTCCTGGGCTGCTTTAAGAACCCAGGAAGGGGCAAACTCTAACAAGCGGTAACTGGACTAACAGACAAAGGGACATTGTCCACTTTCTCAGGCATAACAAAATCAAATTCAGTCCAGAAAGCATGACAGGACTGTTTCTTGGGCAATCCGTTAGGATTTGCCCAATTAGAGTCCAACTCCAGTTGAATATTCCAAGATAGCTATTTGAGGATCCTGAACAATTTTCCGTTTAAGATAAATCTTTTTTCTTCTTGTAAAATGAGCCATATACAAAAGGTTATGAAGGGCAATCCATCTGTCTCTTCCTGTAAATCTTTTGGCACTCGCTTTTCATATTAAACAGCAAACCTTTAACATGACTAAAATGGCAGATAATGCAATTAGCACAACTTCGGTAGTTTGTGGCGAAGAGAACATTAGTCCTCTTACAAAAATAAACTGTTCATGCTGGTTGCGATCTTTTTTTGACAATTTCAAAATATGGTTATGTGGTCAATTAGAAATGTAAAATATGACAGTAAATTGTAGAATAGGGAGTTAAATTAAATTTAAACAGATTTCTGTAGAATTGGTAAAATGCTATTTACTTCTACTTGTAAAAAAATTAAAATAACAAGTTTTCTGGTGTATTGATATTTTAAAGTAATGTCCTAATTATAGGGAACCCATGAGAAGCGTACTGCTAGAACATAGGTGCATTGCTTTTATAACCTGCAATCGTACAATAACTGAAGCCCAAAGACTTGGCATTTATAAAACTGTCTAGCCTTCAAATGCATGCTGTTCTTTTTGGAAGTTATAACCGTATATCACAAGTCATGTATTGTATTTAATTAAGTTTATATTCTATTCTGAACTTCACACTTCAGTAGGATCAACTTTAAGATGACATTTTAAATGATTTTCAGATGGTTTCCCTGGCTTAGAATCACAGAATTGTAATGTTAGAAGGATCATCTCTTCCAGTCCTCTGCAGCATGCAGGAAAATCAGTTAAATCATCTCCAAAAGGTGATGGCCAATCCTCTCTTTAAAAACTTGCAGAACTTGTATATAAACTATGTTATTGCCAAATAGATTTGACTGCCAATTTTTCTTTCTATTTAAATGAAAATACGTTTTCCCTTTTGTCTAAATGAAATTTAAGTAATTTATGGTAGATTAGGCTATCAACAACATTTTTTGGTGGAAATTAAGCACAGTTGAGTTTTTGTAGAGCATATTGAATTCGCTATTCCCCTCCTATTCAGCTCTCTAACTGAAGCTATTGCTATGCAGCTACTCAGCAGTTAACCAGGTCCTTCTCTAACACCATTCTTACGATTTCTTTATATGCATCCAAACATAATTTTTATCCTGACCAAAGTTTTTTGAATGGGTCGGAATGGGCCACTCTTGTAGGAGTGGCCAAATATTTTGTTGTCCATCTAATTTCTATAGTTTCTCCTTTAAGACTAGCAGTGGGAGAGAGAGCTCACAGTAAATCCTATCTTCCTGTGCAGAAACTTTTTCTCTGATGATCCAACAGGGGTTTTTACCAGACCCCCAAAGTTTGTAGCTTTAGTAGAATTACAAGGCTTTCTTTGAACAATATATCACTTCTTTACCTTCCCCAACCCCTCGTACCCTGCAAAAATAAAATATGAAAATATTCTCGGTGCTGCAAAAATCAAGATGACCTCTGGATGGAGGTAAAGATATGCAGAAAAGTCTAATTATTTGCTCCCATCTTGTGGTCATCTGGATTTCTGCAGCCTTGATCTGGTAGACTAACACACTACTGTAAGCCATTTTTATTTGTTACTTTTTTATTGTATTATTATACATGTTGATACATTATATTATTTCTGTTGATACATTATATTTATTTCTGTACATTGTTGTTTATATAATTAAAGACTGTGACATCCTATTATTTAAATAATGTAGAATATTGAAAACAGAACAGAAAAAAGATATATCAATATTAATGGCAGCTTAGGATATTAGAAACATTATAATTATTTGGCTTTGTTACTAAGCTAATTATTTAATATTAAAATCTTCATTGTATTATTACTTTACATACACACATTAATGAAAGGAAAAGACAGATGGACAGAGCAAATTTAAAATGAATTAAAAAACGAAAGAGACGAAAAAGGAAAATTGAGAGAAAAAACTACAGTTCTCAAATATAACCTTTTTTGTGATAGTCGTTAAGTGAACACAGCAAACCTTAAGCATGTACTGCTGTCGTTATGCGAACTTATTGTCCAGTATGGGGTGAGTTTTGTCAGAAACCACAAATAAATGCCAGTTTCTGGCAAAACCATTGTAAAGGCAGTCATGTGACCATGGGGCACTGCAAACAGGCATTGATGCAGACTGGCTGCTGAGTGCCCAAAATGTGGTCACGTGACTGCAGGGGGACCTTGATGTCAGAACTTTGAAACTAGGTTTTGGAGGGGGGTGTCTTTGAACTATTGCTAAGTGACTGGTCATAAGTCAAGGGCTATCTGTATTAGGTTTCTATCTTGTCCCTTTTTATACAACTGCTAATTTGCAATTGTGTATTTGTAAGCATTTAAGCCTTCTTAGTGATTGTTTTTGCAATGCTGCATGATGTTTTATGGGCACTAATTAATTTGATTTAGATGGGCAGTTTTCCACATTAGATTCTAGAACAGTAATATTGACAAGAGTGAAAATGCAATACCACCAAAAACATGTGTTTTACTTAACTCACTTCATACATTATTTTAATGGTGCCATAGTTAATATAATGAGGCAAATACTGAAGACTTCATACAGTAGCCCTAAACCAGATTAAAGTCTCTATCACACTAGCAGGGCCCTCCAGAAACATGCAATGTAAAAATAAAAATTCTCTAGTGAGCTACCAACAAACATTTGTTTGTTTTTTTATCCTACCTTTATTATCCTGCTCCTCCCAAAACTATATATTATAAAAACTCTGATTCCTGTAACCTTTCACTAGGCAAAATGGTGCACCACAAGAAAAAAACTTTCAAACCAAAGTACCTCAAATGGGCTAATTTATACATGCGCCCCAAATCCAGAACCCACAACTCCTGTGGAATTGGGCTATTTTTAAGGAAAATATATCTCTGAATGTATCCTAACTTTTCCAGTGAAGGCAGTACATTAGAAATTCTGTCACTGTTGAAGGCTCTCAGGAATCTGAAAAGAAAATATTTCGTAAAGGCTAACCTAATGGATCACAGGTTATCTAGTAAGCTACATCCCCATGCTATTATTTGTGAATACATTTTAAAACATTATTTATTAGTTCTAAGAACAGCTAGTTGTTGTCACTTTAGATACGAAACATTAAGCATCAATCGGCCATTAGTAATATTACTGCACCAGTATTTGGAGAATACATGACTGCCAAATTAGAAAAAAATAACTGTTGTAATTTAGAATAAGTCCACTATAGCAAGCTTGCATTGAGGTTTACGCCAATATTATCCGTGGTGTATCTATTTCCCTTCAGATTTCTCACTTAGCAACATAAATTCCGGGCTCAATTGTGGTCGCTGAGGACTCCTTGTATAACGATCGTTTTCAAACCCAGCAAATTAAACTAGTTTTTTTTTCAAAGCACTGATTTGTACCAATTCATTTCTGAAGAAGTAAAAAAACTTCTATGATCATGGGTGAGACTAGCACTAAATACAGGCAGTCCTCGACTTACAACAGCTTGTTTAGTGTCCGTTCAAAGTTACAACGGCATTAAAAAGAGTGACATGACCATTTTTCACAGTTATGACCGTTGCAGCATCCCCATGGTCACACGATTTACATTTGGATGCTTGGCAACTGGTTCGCATTTATGACGATTGCAGTGTCTCGGGGTCACGTGACCTGTGGCTTTCTACCAAGCAATGTCAATGGCGGAGCCACATTCACTTAACAACGCTGTTACTGATTTAACAACTGGGATGATTCACTTAACAAATGTGGCAAGAAAAGTTGATAAAATGGAACAAAACTCACTTAACAAATTTCTCACTTAGCAACATAAATTCTGGGCTCAATTGTGATCACTGAGGACTCCCTGTATAACGATCGTTTTCGAACCCAGCAAATGAAGCCAAAATTAGCTAAAAAAAGTTGGTTTTTTTTCTCAAGCCACACTTCACACGTGCCCAACGACAGAAAAGGAAATTAGCGTCCTTCTCAACCCGGGCATTTGCATATTTGCATATCTCCACTCGGGCGTAACGCTTTGCGGAAATTTAGCCGAGCCGATTTCCTGCGGACTGGAGGCAGGAACGCGACGGCGTCAGCAGCAAGCGGCTTGCGTTTGCAACGCGCTCCTCGCCTACCAAAAAGCGCGGCTCCCGTGCAACTTCGGATACAGGAAGGAAGCGTCCGATGGAAGAGGGCGGCTGAGCTTTATTTCTCAGAGCGCCTCCCGTTTTCGGGTCGCGGGCGCGGTATCTATGCGAGCCCCACACAAAGCAATTATGTAACGCACGTCCAGTTTCAAACAGGAATACAGCGGGGCGAAGAGCAAAGAAGCCGCCCGGAGGTACCCAAGTCCTGGACACACAGCGCGCGGCGCTTGCAAGTCCCGGAATTGTCTCTTTCTCTCTCCCCCCCCCCCCTTCCTACACACACCGCCCCGCGCGCCCGGCTCGAGCGAAGCCACTCGAGAACGGCTCTCCGAAGGGGAGGGGGAAATGAGGACCGCGCAGGCGCACCAGGAGCCTGGCTGTCCAACATGGCTGAGCTGCTGCTCCTGCCGCTGCCACCGCTGCCTCTTTTTGCAGGACGGGGGGAGTTGAAGGGAGGATGCTGAGCTACTTCGGAGCAGCAGCGGGAGTGGTAGGTGGAGCGAGGCTAGCGAGGACGGAGCCGGCCTCTCCTCGGCTATGGCCCGCCTGGCAGATTATTTCATTGTGGTGGGCTACGACCATGAGAAGACAGGTAGGTGTGGCTATGGGTAATACGCCGTTGTCTCTGCCTTGCATTTTGGTGTGTGTGTGTGCTTCCTTTTTCGAGGGGGCCGGGCGTGGGGAGGGCAGCTGGTCAGCGTGGGGAGGGGGAGGTGACGACCAGGATCCCCTTGGGGATCATGGAGGAGTGGGTGGAGGAAATGTCAGGAAGAAGCGCTGGGTTTCCTCTCCCGAGGTTGAGTGGCTTGGCAAGGAAGAGGAGTGCGTGTGTATGTGTGTCAGTCATCTTCCTTACAAGCCTTGCTGGGGACCTGACACGCAGGGACAGCAGCAGCAGCAGCAGCAGCGGGGCTGGTTGCCCCTCCTGAGAATTGGGCGTGGAGATGTAATGGGGGATGTTTTTTTTTTCTTCCTTGAAAGGCCACCCCATCCTTTTCCTATGGGGATGGGGACAAATTTGATTTCCCAGGGAGGAATTGTATCCCTGGCAAGGAAAGTGAAAAACAACCAGTACTAGCTTCTCTCTTTAACTATTTAGTGACATACTGGGCTAGGTTTGTGTATTGGGTTCCCTCAGGTGGAGAGGGCCATCTTCCTTCTTCCCCAGCATTGGGAGAAAAATAAACATTAGAACGAATGTGCCCTGCTCATCTGTGTTATCTTGAGCATTAAGTTCCAGCAGTAATTAAAGTTTGTTTACCCACGTGAGAGTTGGCTAAATTTAGTTGGTTCCAGGAATATAGTAGAGGAAACTTGGGTAACTTGTTGAAACATGACCAATGCAGGTATAACCCATGGTAAAAAAAATCTGTTAACTGTAATTTTCAGGGAGAGTTTGAATCTGGAAAATAAGTTTATAAATTTATATAAATACATTTATCCAGGTTCTGGGAATATTTTAATAAATTTAGGATAGTTCTTAATAAGAACACAGTAAGAAGTGTACTTATGTTTGTAGGTCTGCTTCAAAAAGAAGCACAGATATTAAAGGGAAAAACAAATTGTATACTAAAAAGTTGTTTAACTTTCCTATAATCTACATCAAAATGTAGTTTGTCTATGAATACTTCTACATAAAGTGCAGGATTTGGCACTCTACATAAAGTGCAGGATTTGGCACTCTACTATAGCACACATAGTACAGTATGCTTATAGAAATATGGGATAAACAATGTAAACATACTTGAGAGAAGATTAAAATCTTATGGAGATATGATATGGAATGCTGAATTAGTATTATTTCCCTATCTTTAAAAAGTAATAAAAGTTTTAAGATTCATGTTCAAAGAATTGAAACAGGAGTTGGCAAACAAAGCTGGCAGGAATAGCCAACACACCAGAAGATAGGCTTAAGATACAGAAGGATCTTGATAGACTTGAACATTGGGCGCTATCTAACAAAATGAAATTCAATGGTGAAAAAAGTAAGGTTCTACATTTAGGCAAGAAAAACCAAATGCACAGGTATAGTATAGGGGGTACCTTGCTCAATAGTAGCAACTGTGAAAGGGATCTTGGAGTCCTAGTGGGCAATCACTTAAATATGAGCCAGCAGTGTGCTGCACTGCCAAAAAAGCCAACACAGTGCTAGGCTGCATTAATAGAGGGATAGAATCAAGATCACGTGAAGTGTTAATACCACTTTACAATGCCTTGGTAAGGCCATACTTGGAATACTGCATCCAGTTTTGGTCACCACAATGTAAAAAAGATGTTGAAACTCTAGAAAGAGGACAGAGAAGAGCAACAAAGATGA